CACATTTGTATTCGTATTGTGGCTATAAACTCCACACTTGTATTCGTATTGTGGTTATGAATGTAATGTCCAGTACAGTAGTACACATTTATATTCATGTAATTGTTATTTGTGAAGTGCGCCCTCACAGGCAATATGTAGAACAGTGTTTACAATATGGCTGCCATGTTCATGCAGTGAATAAATAAAGCTCAAGTTTGTGTTCCCACTATTGTATTAATTTCTGCCTCACGATCTTACAACATGGCGACGAGGATGAACAAGATCTAGTGCAACATTCAAGAAAACCTGAGATGCCTGCAGAAATATTTTAATTCATAAACCGTGAGTTGAACATTGACTGAACATACATGTAGTATGTAAATCAGCCATACACATTTCCCAGTGTCAGAGTTTACAGATTCGTTAGAATTCAGACTACCGTCAGAGTAATACAGATTCGCTGGATGTGAAATTATTGAATTAATTCTGAACAATGGCTACTGCACTGCTACCATTTCCGTCATTCCCAGTACATGATGAAAGCACCTCCATAGGGCCAAGATGGACAAAATGGGTGAAGCGTTTTGAGACATATTTGGTTGCCCAGGGAATCACTGATGATAAGAGAAAGCGTGCCTTACTATTATATTCAGCTGGGGATGAGGTAGCAGATATTTTTGATACCTTACCAGATACTGGTGATGAATTCAAGGAAGCTCTAGAAGCACTGTATAAATACTTTGTACCCAAAGTAAATAAAGCATACGAAGTTTATGTATTCCGAAATGCATCACAGAAACCCTGTGAAACATTAGACAGTTATAACACACGTTTGGAACAACTTGCAAAGACATGCACATTTCATAATGAAGATGAAGAGATCAAGTCACAAATAGTACTATCTACAACATCAGCAAGGCTGAGAAGGAGAGCACTCAGAGAAAATTTGTCATTAAAAGACATTCTTGATGCAGGTCGTGCTTTTGAAATATCAGAACGTCAAGCAAAAGGCATAGAGGACACTGATAGGGTAGATCATATTTCTGAAATTAAGCACGTGTCTAAGAAATTTAATAGGAATAGAAAAAAAACATGGCTGAATTCAAAATCAGGAGAGAGGTCAGGTCAAAGTCAGTTCAAAGGTCCAACTGGAAATGATATTAGTAAGTCTTGCTTCAGATGTGGTGGCATATACCCACACAAAGATACTCCATGTCCAGCACGCGGCAAAGCATGCAAAAAGTTTCAGAAAATTGGACATTTTGCAAAAGTATGTAGGAGCAATAATATACAGCGAGCAAAAGCAATTGACGTCCACAAAGATAATTCTACAGTTAACCAACAGTTGACTGAGAATTTCTGTGTAGTTAAAGGCACAGGAGGAAACTTGTTAGGGTGTGAAACAGTAGTGAATCTTGGATTGCTACGCATCGTGAATAATGTACATTCTACAACACCTGTACCGACAGTTGGGAAAATAGTTAATGATTTCGTGGATCGTTTTGAGGGCATTGGAAAGATGAAACATGTTAAAGCAAATTTACATATTGATAAATCAGTTAAACCAGTCGCTCAACAGCATCGTCGTGTTCCATTCCACGTTCGAGGTAAAGTAGAGAAAGAATTACAGAAATTGGAAGAGTTAGACATAATAGAAAAAGCTGTAGGTGCAACACCGTGGGTTTCCCCGATTGTTGTTGTGTCAAAGAAAGAAAATATTCGTATTTGTGTTGACATGAGAGCTCCAAATACAGCTATAGAAAGAGAACGTCACCCGATACCGACAATAGAAGACCTGATAGTATATTTAAATGGTGCTACAGTGTTCACCAAAATAGATTTCAGCAAGGGATATCATCAAATAGAACTGGATCCTGATTCAAGTCACATAACCACATTTGCCATACACTAAGGTTTATTTCGTTACAAGAGACTGAGTTTTGGCATAAATTCAGCGACAGAAATATTTCAGAAGGCTGTCTCTGATGCACTGAAAGGAATTCCAGGTGCTAGAAATATATCAGACGACATAATATTATTCGGCAAGGAACAAGCAGATCATGATGACCAATTGAAAGCTGTATTGCAGAGACTAAGAGACAATAACAACAGAGAGAAATGTGAATTCAGAATTCACTGAAGTCAGAAATCACATTCTATGGGCATACCTTTTCTGCTAAGGGAGTATCAGCCGACAATAAGAAAGTATCATCACTACTGAAGGTCAGTGAACCACAGGATGTAATGGAAGTCAGCAGTTTTCTTGGCATGGCACAATACATAGCCAGATTCATACCAGACTTCGCATCTATATCAGCACCCATACGAGAGCTTACTCATCAAGATGTACCATGGTCATGGGGCCCAAGACAACACAAGTCATTCAGTGCACTGAAAACTGAAATGGCTAGAAGGAAAGTGATGCAATACTTCAACCCAGAGTATAATACAGAGATTATCGTTGATGCCAGCCCGACAGGATTGGGTGCGATTCTAGTGCAGATTACTACAAATGGAAATCGGAACATAGTCGCATATGCAAGTCCCGCACTAACTGATGCTGAGAGTAGATATAGCCAGACAGAGAGGGGGGCACTTGCGATGGTACGGGCAAGTGAACATTTTCACTTATACATTCATGGATCATCCTTTAAAATAATCACAGATCACAAACCATTAGAAAGAATCTTCAAAAACCACAGCGCAAGTCTACAGCCAGAATTGAACGTCTGTGTCTACGTATGCAACCATACAAATACAAAGTAATTTGTTGCTCAGGTAAAGAAA